TTCAAGGACGGTGATCTTCCCCTTCACCTACAGTGTCACAGATTTACCCAGACCCTGAGTTCAAATCAAAAGCCTGCCAGAAAAAAGGTGCAAATTCCAATCCAGGGCTTTATTATTATTTTTTTTGGCCAAAGCATGGGGCTTGAACTCAGGTCTTGGCATCTCTGCCACAACCAACCTTGGGATCCTAGGACCAGAGTTCAAATCTTGAGGCTAGTAAAAAAAAAAAAAAAGAGAGAGAAGGATAAAATTGAGATGGGAAGGGGAAACAAAGAGGAGGCAACAATGCTTGATAAGAAGGGTACTGGTTATCTTGCCCATGTAATTGTAACTCCTCTGTATGGTATTCTCACAATAAAAAAAAAAACTGAGAAGTTCAAGAAGGTGGTTTAACTTTTTCTTCCACCTTTGTGTTGTGGCCATCCAGGGTCTAAATGACAAGGCCCAGAAAGTGTACATGACCTTGCATTACTGATATTTGGTGGGCTATTAGGGAAGCCATAGCCAAAAGAGGCAACTTAGGCCTGGAGGTTGAATCCTGGTACTGCCACTAATGAATGGGGGGAGATTCTAAGGCACATTCTGATATACATCCATACAAATGAAATGTTATAAAAGTAACAAATAAATTACTAGTGTATGATTATATTATAAAACTATATACAAAAATTATACTACATTAATTTTCAATTAATACTTTATTATGTATTCAATCATGATACTTAAAAAAGGAAGGAATAATTTAATTGCCAATAATCAGTAGCAATATTGTATATGCTATTTCATAATGTACAGACATCTCTTTCTTGTTTTAAGCATATACCTCTCTATCTATCTATCTATCTATCTGTCTATCTATCTACCTACTTACCTATCTATACACCAATCTACACATTTATCTGTTTGTATACTTGTCACTCCTGGGGATCAGTGGTAGTGTGCTCTCCTAGGACATACAAAGCCCTCGGTTCGATTCCTCACTACCACATGCACAGAAAAATCCGAAAGTTGTGCTGTCTTGCTTAAGTAGTCGAGTACTAGCTTTGAGGATGAATGAAAGCATAGGGGCTGTGTCTAGATCCTTATTCAAGACCCTAGTAGTGGCACCAAAAAAAAAAAAGATAGAATGTTCTCACTGTAATGATATAAGGATAGGCAGCAAATACCTCATCACAGAGCAAGCTGGGAGTCTGGTGTTGACAGGTGACATCTAACCCGACTTAGCCAGAGGTAAACCACTGCAACCCAGCTCCACGGAAACAGATGCTGCTGGCTCACTCACCCCTGTCATGCAAGATACTAGGGGGCTGAGATCTGACAGTGGTGGGTTTAGAACTCAGTCCTGGCATTAAGTCTGCGAAACTCTGACCTGTGGCTCAAAGTGGCAGAGCTCTAGGCTTGAGCTAAATATCTTAGGATAGTACCCCCAACCTTTGAGTGCAATCCATGTGGCTGACTCCCCCCCAAAAAAACCACCCCTCTAAATCATTAGATGTGAACTTTGTGAGGTTTGTGATGTGTTTCTAAAAGAATGGTGATACTGATTAAAGCACCCTAATTCTAATGACAGCATGTGGGATACAGCTATGTGATGAGTTCTTCATGAGTTGTTGTATGCCTAGTCCTTCACGGGGTTCATTCTTTCATCTGGTCCTTGTAAAAGCTCCACAAGTAAGATGATTGTGCAGATGGGAAAGTTGAGGCTCAGATATGTCCCCATGTCAGGGCCAAAATGATGTATGTACTGAAATGTAGTGAGTTGTTTCCTGCAGACAATTATTTTGGTTTACTTTTCTCCATCATGTACCTTGAACTCAGAGCCGAGGCACTGACTTTCATCTTGGGCTCATGGCTAGCACTCTACCACGTGGAGCCAACGACTCTTTTTAGTATAGTGTCAGAGCTTAGGTGTCTTTAGCTGAGGTCTGTCATCCTGCCTACTTAGCAAGCTGAAATCTGATGATCTGCGTTCCAAACTTTCCCAGACACAAAAGGTCCCATGAGACTATTATCTCCTATTCACCACTTAGAAACTTGAAGTGGAAGCTGCGTACCGGTGACTCGTGCCTGTCATCCTAGCTACTCAGGAGGCTGAGAGCTGAGGATCACAGTCCAAAGCCAGCCTGAGCAGGAAATTCCTTGAGATGGTTATCTCCAATGAACCACCAGAAATCTGAAGGGGCTCTTTAGCACAAGTGGTAGAGCTCTAGACTTGAGCTGAAGAGACAGCACCCAGGCCCAGACTTCAACTCCTCCAACTTATAAGAAAAAAGAAACCTGAAGTGGAGTGCTAGGAATGTGTCTTAGGGGTAGAGTGCTTTGCATGCATGAAACCTGGGCTTGAATCCTCAGTGCCACCTCACTAGAAAAAAAAATCTAAAGTGCTCTGTGGCTCAAGTGGTAGAGTGCTGTCCTTGTACAAGAGAAACTCAGGTCAGTGGTCAGTTCCTGAGTCCTTCAGGACTGGTGTATGCACACACACACACACACACACACACTCTCTCTCTCTCTCTCTCACACACACACACAGAACAGAAGTGAAGCTGTGACACCAAATGGGAAAACACTGAGCTTCTGCTCTGAAGTCATGGTCAGCACCTTCGCCCTGTGTTCAACCCCAAAATCTAGCCACCGAGGGCCAAACTAGGAGAGGTCAAAGGTTTCAAATCTTGATGTGCTTCACCAGCCCTAGATGACAGGAAGCATTGTGATTTTGCACAAGTGCTTAGATTTAGGAAGCTTCTGGAAACCTAGGGAGGCAACACTGCCAATAATGAATCATTTCATTAGATTCAGGGCCCTAGTTGTCTGCCAGAAGGACTCTTCAATTAATTGTAGCAGTTTGTCTCAACATTGGAACATAGTGTAACAAAGACAGGATGAGTGCAGGGAACTTGGCCTGCCACAGGAGGTGGCACAAATGAAGACTTCCTGTCCAAACAGAGCACTGGGGAGAGAGATAGCTTGGGGAAAAGGAGGGCTTTTTCACCTGGCCTTTAGAGCCCACCCACACTCATCCTCACTAATTGCCCCAGATGAAATGTTTGTTACACAGCTGTACAGGAGTAAGGCTTTTTGTTTGCCTGTTCCAACAATGAAGCAGACTTCCTCCAGCAGCCTGGGGTGTGGAGAAACCCTCAAGTTACACTGGGAACAGTGAGGAGAGCTCTGGAACATGCAGTGTCTTGAAAGCTGTGCTAAGAAATCATTCTATTCAAAGCAAATTACCTAGCTGAGTTCCTTTCTTCATAGGGACTCTGGATGTTCACCGATAGAAATACTTGCATATATACACAGATACGTGGAGTTACTGGCTCTTTTTTTTGCGGCAGGTCCTGAGTCTTGAACTGTGATTCTTGACATTGTCCCTGAGCTCCTTTTGCTCAAGGAAGCATTTTATTGTGCCTTAAAATATGATACATCATTAAATGGACGCATAATTCAATATCTATTAATTATTAGTAATATATTACATGTAATTTAATATGTAAACATCTTGCATTCTATAAATTTTTATATATTTAAATATACAATCAAATAAACCTATAAATCTCTCTCTCCCCCAGCCCTCTCTCTCTCTCTCTCTCTCTCTCTCTCTCTGTATGTGTATATATATATATATATATATACATATATATATATATATATTTGCAGCAATTTACACTTCTATCTATTTATATATTGGCGACTCCTTGGGCTAGAAGTCAGGTCCTGAGAACTGCCTGGCAGTAAATTTTTTTGAGGTTGCTGTGCTTAATGGCCACTTGATGAATTGGGCATTCCAGGCCCTGAGTTCAAATCCTAGCAGTGCCAAAGTTAATAGGTGGAGTAAGAAGCCAATTTTGAACTGTTTTCCTTTCTGTGAAAATCTTGTGTCCTAGGTACAATATATAATATCTATGCAAATACATGCATATATATGATATACATTATAAATGTATATAACGATTATTTTTGCCAGTCCTGGGCCTGGAATTCATGCCTTGGGAAATGTTCCTGAATTTCTTTTCTTCAAGGCGGTGAACTCCTATGTCACCCAGATCACAATAGTGTTACCCAGCCCCTGAGTTCAAATCCCAGGTATGGCAGAAAAAATGGCCTAAATTCCAAGTCAATGCCTTAACATTTTTTGTGGGGGGGGGGGGGGGCAGGCATGGGTCTTGAAATTAGGTTGCCCTAACTCTGCCTCAGTCTTGATTACCCTAAGCTGGGGTGCAGCTTTTACACCCACAGATGACCCAGGGATCCTAGGAACCAAGTTCAACTCCCTTCACTGGAAAAAAATCATCAAACCAACAAAAATGGAGGATGAATAAACCAGGAAGTTTTACACCACAGTATTACCTTTGTTTCCTTTGCACTGTAACCATCCTGGGTGACAGTGACTAGGCTTGAAAATTTTATGTGACCTTGCATAGCCGAGGCTGTTAATGAAGCCTGAGCCCAATCCATGCACAGAGGCCCTTAGTTCGATCCTGGGACTGCCACCTACACATGGCTGAAGATCCTAGGAAACTAGTTCCTATCTATAAGAACACTAATAGAATGTTGACATGTACTAATTGAATCACTAATTAGCAAGTCATTCTAGTATAAGATTGTACACAATAAATATAGATTATTGATTAATTTAATTAATACTTTATTAAGTCTTCTACTGTGATTAATTAATGGAGGCATAATTTTATACCAAATAATTGGTAGTAATAGAATATATATATAAATACAATATAGATATCACACTTTATATATAGTTATACACTAGAATCTACATAAATGTCTGTCTCTGTATACATTTATTGATAGATGCATATACATATATAAATACACACACACACTTCAGTCTACACATCTGTCTGTTTATATATTGGCCACTCCTAGGACGTGAACTTGGGTCCTCAAATTTGCCCAACAACTTCACTTGCATCAGACTGGTATGCTAACATTGACCCATTCATGAAGTGGGCCTTCTAGGCCCTGAGTTCAAATCACAGAATTGCCAAATACTTAATCCTGGTGGAAGAAGCCAATTGTCCCACGTTTTCCTTACCGGTCAAAGTCCTGGGTCTCAAGTATGATGTACAATATATATGCAAATCTATGTCCTATGTGATAGGATGTAAAAAATGTTATACATGCAATCATACTCACTAAAATACAAAACAAATAATTAAAAACAAAATAAAACAATTAATACACTAACTGTAATATGCAGTAAACATTTGTTTTTGGGTCTGGTTGCGGGGCCTGAACTCTGGGCCTGGGTGCTGTCTCTCAGCTCTTCAGCTCAAGGCTAGCACTCTACCACTTGAGCCACAGTGCCACTTCCGGCTTTTTTCTTTTTGCTTATGTGGTGCTGAGGAATCGAACCCAGGGCCTCAGGCATTCAAGGAAAGCGCTCTACCACTGAGCCACCTTCCCAGCCCCTGCAGTAAACAATTGAGAGTAAATGTAAGTCATGTATTTAAAATGTATACGAATATTTTTTTTGAATGCTAGGGTTGAATTCAGGCCCTGGGAACAGGCCTGACTTTCTTGTCTTCCAACACAGTGAGCTTGCCCTTCCCCCATAGTGCTGTAGATTTACCCAGATCCTGAGTTCAAATCCCAGGCCTGCCAGAAAAAAATGGCATGAATTCCAAGCCAAGGAGCCTCATAATTTTTAAAATATTTATAGTGTACATATGTATGTGTGTATATGTGTATGTATGTATGTATTTTTATTTTGCCACAGGGCTTGAACCCATGTCGTGGCAACTCTGCCTCAACTTTGATCACTCTACCCTGGGGTGCAGCCACTGGATCCACAGCCAATCCTAGGTTCCTAGGCCCCAAAGGCTGACAGGAAAAAAGTAAATAAATCAACACAAAATAAAACCGTTCAACTTGCAGATGGCTGACAGTTTTACATTTGTTTTCTTTGCAAGGTGACCATCCTGGATCTGAATGACACAGCTGAAAAATGCTCTTAACGTGGCTTACTGAAAGCTGGTGGGCTACCAGGGAAGCCATAGGCCAACATGGCAACATAGGCCCTGAGTTCAAAGCCCAGTTCTGACCCCTACCAATGGCAGGACATTCTAAGAGTCTCGTTCATATTCATAGGAATTCCAATGGAAGGTTTTGAATGTCCAGGTTAAATTAGTTCTTCCTGAATGATACTACTATAAAATTAGAGTGATTTTAGGAGGCCGATGGATTTTAATTAATATTTTTGACACATTAAAAGAATACAATTAATTACATGGACACAATAATTTCAGGACAGTGGTTGATTTAATTAATAATTCATTAAGGATGAAAACAATAATATTAATTACATGGAGTCATAATGAATATCCACGAATTGGTAGGAATGTAGCATATATAACTGAATCATGTATAAACATCTCTGGCACTATAAAGATCTATATTTATTTGTGTACTACCATCTGCATGTCAATCTGCTCTTATTTTGTCAACCCCTGGGGTTCGATCTCAGATGCTGGGATCTGCTTGTCAGCTCCATATGCCCCAGGCTGACATGCTGACACTCACCCACTTATGAGTTGGACCTTGTAGGCTGTAAGTTCAGATGCCAGCACTCACAAAAATTGAATCGCGGATTAAGAAGCCCAAAGTGACACATGTTTCCTTTTCTGTGAAAGGTCTGGGTGTCAGGTGTGAAGTTTCATACACAAGCAAATCTATGCCCTATGTAATAAATATTCCTTGTGTATTAACAGTCAATAAAATAAATGGTAGATAAATGAATAATACAAAAAGAATGAATACATTAATCACAATATGGAGTCAACATATGGGGCTTGATCTCAGGGTTGGGAACTGCCTGGCAGATGAATTGGCTAGTGGCTGCTGTGCTGACAGTCACCCATTCATGAATTAAACCTTGTAGGCCCTGAATTTAGATCCCAGCACTGCCAAAAATGTAATCATGGAGTGAGAAGCTGAGCATGACACATGTTTTCTTTTTCTTTGAAAGTGCTCGGTGTCAGGTAGGATGTATAATTCGTATGCAAATCTATATGCTATGTAAGAGGATGTCATAAATGTAATAAATGTCATAGGTGGAAAAATTATCACTACAGTAAATGATAAACAAATTGAATTAGTAGTGAATCATTGTAGGATAATATTAGATATAAGAACTATAGGACTGCATTAAGATGAATATTTTATTAAGCACTAACAGAATAAAAATTGCATGGAGACATAATTAAATACATAATAATTGGTAGTAACACATGATGCATACATAATTTAATTATATGTAGACATCTGTTTTGTTCTATAAAATATGTAATTATATGTATGGATGTATATACATATGTGATAAATAATAACAGGTTATTGAGTAATTATTAATTAATGCTTTATTAATGGTTCAACTGGGACACATCATTAAACAGAGACATAATTTAATACCTAATAATTGGTAGTAATATTATCTATAATTTAATAATATACAGGCATCTCTTTTTGTGTATATAATATTTATGTACAGCAATCTCTATCTATTTATATCTTGTTCACTCCTGGGGCTCAGTGGTTGAGTTCTCACCTAGTAAGCACGAATCCCTGGTTTTGATTCCTTAGTGCCACATAAACAGAAAACCTGGAAGTTCTGCTGCCTTTCCTCAATTGAGTGCCAGCTTTGAGCACAAATGCTTAGGGACACTGTCGAAGCCCTTACTCAAGCCCCAGGACTGCTGCCAAAAAGGCAGAATGTTCTAACTGCAACTGTAGAAGGACAGGACTTCAAATACCTCATCACAAAGCAAGCTAGGAGTCTGGTGCTGAAAGCTTCCACCTAACCTAACTTAGCCAGATGTAAACCCCTGCAACCCAGCTGCAAGGAACCAGACGCTGCTGGCTTACCCCTATCATCCTGGCTGCTTGGGGGCTTTAAAACCCAGTCCTAGCAGGAAGTCTGCGGGACACTTTAAAATGTGGCTTGAAGTGGTACAGCGTTAGCCTTGAGCAAATGTTATTAGAACGGTATCCCCATGCTTTGAGTTCCAGCACCCTGGGTAACTCCCCCCTCAAAAATACCATTAAACCATTAGATGTGAACTTGTTTGGTTTGTGAAATATTCCTCAAAGAATGGTGATACTGATGAAAGCACCCCAATCCTAATGACAGCTTATCGAATAGAGCTATGTGCTGAGTCCTTCATAAGATGCTCTCAGCTGAGTCCTGCAAAGAGTAACATGTGCTGTGTCCTTCATTGGGTGCACTCTTTCACCTGGTACTCGAAGACCTCCACAACTCAGATGATTATGCAGACAAGAATATTGAGGCTCAGATATGTCCCCATGGCAGAGACAAAATTATGTATTACTGAAGACTAGTGAGTTGTCTCCTGTGGACAATTGTTTTGTTTTGATTTTTCTCAGTCATGAACCTTGAACTCGGGGCCTAGGTGCTGACCCTTATCTCTTGGGCTCATGGCTAACACTCCACCACATGGAACCACTAACCACCTTGCAGCAGAATGCCACGGCCTAGGAGTTGATAGCTGAAGTCTGTTGCCTTGCCTTATAAGAAGTTGAGATCTGTGGATATGGGTTCCCAACTATCCCAGACACAAAAGGTCCCATGAGACTATTATCTTCAATTCACCACTAAGACAACTGAAGTGGAAGCTGGGTGCTTGTGACTCATGCCTGTTATCCTAGCTACTCGGGAGGATGAGATCTGAGGATTATGGTTCAAAACTAACCTGGGCAGGAAAGTCCTTGAGACATATAGCTCCAATGAACCACCAGAAAACCTGAAGTAGCTCTGTGGCTCAAGTGGTAGAGCACAAACTTGAGCTGAAGAGCTCAGGGACAGCACCAGACCCAGACTTTAACTCCTACAACCTACAACAACAACAATAAAAAAAAACAGAAACAAACAAACAAACCTGACTTAGTGGTCTGGGAATGTGCCTTAGAGGTAGAGTACTTTGCATATATGAAACCCTGGGCTTGATTTCTCAGGACCACATCACTAGAAAAAAGCCTGAAGTGGCTCTGTGGCTCAAGTGGGAGAGGGCTATCCTTGTATAAGAGAAACTAGGTACAGTGCTCAGGTCCTGAGTTCAAGCTCCAGGACTGGTGTATGCACACATGTGTATGTGTGTGCATGAGCGTGTGCGCATGCACACACACACACACACACACACACACACACACACACATACACACACACACAGAGACCAGAAGTGAAGCTGTACGTGCATGTGTGTGTGCTAGAGAAAAACAGAAACATGAATATGCTTCTAGTGTGTTCTAGATACTTAAGGGTGTAGACAAAAAAACATTCATAATTATTAGGTCATTTTATAGGCAAAGGGAGCAATGCAGAGAGTATGAGGATCGCTCCAGCTTTCGGTCCTCTCATCCTGAAACAGTAAATTCACTGCAGCTCAATGCTAAGTGACAAAGCTGGCATGTCCTGTGGACATTTGCTCCCAAATCCTTGGACACTCATTTCTCACTTTTGGCTTCAAACCTGTGACCAGAGGAGAAGATGAGGAGAGAAAATCCTTCTCAGAGAAAGCAGCTGTAAGAACATTGGGGTAGTTTACTTATAAATTCAAACCATTGGAATGACCCTGTTAAGAAGTCAGATTGTCCAGATTAAAAAATGAAGAAGAAAAGAAAGGCAGGTGCCAAGGGCTGCTGACTGTAATCTTAGCTCCTGAGGAGGCTGAGATGTAGAGAACCTTAGTTTGAATCCAGCCAGCATAGGAAAGTCCCTGACATTGTTATTTCTGAGAGATCAAAGAAAAACCCAGAAGTAAGGCTTGGATTCAAGGTTAATGCAATACCCTTGAGTAAAAGGAGCTCAGAGAGTATGTCTAGGCTCACAGTTCAACCCCAGGACCTGCAGCAATGATGGACCTATGATGCCTCTCCCAGGGTTCTGGAAGCTTGGGAAATCCAAGCACATGTCTGGTATCACAATGCTTCCTGTCATATGAGTCTGGTGAAGCTCATCAAGTTTTGAAATGTTTCACTTCTCTTAGTTGGGCCCTGGGTGGCTAGGTTTTGGGGTTGAACACAGGGACTAGGTGCTGACCATAGGCTCAGAGCAGAAGCCCGTGCGCGCGCGCACACACACACACACACACACAGACTAGAAGTGAAGCTGTGGCACAAAATGGTAAAGCTCTGGGTTTCTGCTCTGAGCTCATGGTCTCAAGATTTAGACTAAGGATTTCTGTGGAGCACCTCCTTGGCGAATCCTTGAGGAAAGCCGCTTGAAGCCTCCTCAGGAGATTGCCGTTCAAAGCCAGCCCAAGCAGGAATGTCTTTGAGACTCTTATCTCCAAAAACCAAAAGAAAACCAAAAGTGAAGCAGTGGCCCAGAGGGTAGAGCTCCAGCTTTGAGAGAGAAAGCCGAGCAGGAAAAACAGGCCAGACCAGGCAAGAAAGTTTGGAAGGTACTTATGTCCAATTAATGACCAGATGGCTTGAAGTGGAGCTGTGAGGGTGGTAGAGCCTCACCCTTGAGCAAAACAACTGAGGAACGCAGCGGGCTTTGAGATTAAGCCCTGGGATGGCCACAAAATAAATTAAAGAAGAGAATACCAAGTTATGTATCAGTGCCCTACCTACTTATGTGTGTATATTACCACCCTGAGTGCAAACAGACCATATTCAATGCTTCTGCTTTATTTACTGATTTATTTTTCAGATATACTCGTTGCACATACTGCACCATTCTTTTCATTTCAAGCCCATGGCTTTTCTCTTCCAGGGTAGCAGGCCTGTGTCTTTATATGATGCACACTTAAGCTCTCAACAGCCTTTATTTACATTTTATTATGAGGCCAAGGCAGGGACAGTGACAAATCAGGCAGGGGAAGAAAAGTGTTCATAGAAATAGCCAGTATTCAGAATTAAACTTGGGGACGTAAAATGGTAGCATACTTATGTAAAAACTACAATGAAGAAAAAGATGAGGGGGCTGGGTATTTGGATTAGTGAGAGAGTGCTTGCCTAGCATGCAAGAGCCCTGGGTTCGATTCCTCAGTAGCACACAGAAAAAAGCCAGAATTGGTGCTGTGGCTCAAGTAGCAGAGAGCTAGAAACAGTGCCCAGGCCTTGAGTTCATCCCAAAAACTGATAAGAGATCGCTAGCTATGTAGGTAAGTAGGAAGGAAGGTAGGTAGATAGGTGGATAGATAGATCTTGGACGTCAGGAGGAAAGAAGGGAATACTTCCCAGTGTGAGGCCTTCTGCAGGGAGCCAGGCCACCACATTGCCTTCACACAACCACAGAGCAGGAAGACTGTCTCTGTCCCACTTCTCAGGCAGCAGAAGGCCCAAGAGCCAAGAGGGCAGAGCCAGGTTCTAACTCAGGTGCTTAGAGACAGAAGAGAAAGGGCCCTGCCTCTCCTGGGACTGGGAATTTGCATTAATGATGTGCAGAATGAAGGAAAGAGAATGAATTGGCAGAGGTAGAAGAATGGTCTTTAAATCTGACAGATGGAGAGTCAAAATCCCATTCCTTAAGGCAGAGAGCAGGGTTTTTCTTCTCTGTTCCTCCCCTCTCCCTCTCTAAACTGGCTCTCTATTGTTAACCTAAAGATAGCCTGAGGCTCCCTTCACCTGAGAGAGGAAGGTTAATTAGTCATTGTTTGAAGAGGCTGAGAAAGGCCTGACCCTGGTGTAACTCTAACAAATGTTTCAGGGTTCCCCCCTTTGCTGGCTGTGCCTGGAATGCATGAAGTGCTTTTGCAGCTCACTTCCCTGTTGATTATGTACATTCTGCCTCCTAATCCTGCAAGCCTAGGTCTCTTCACCTAGCATGTCTTTTGAAACTGTTTTTGGTCCTTCAAATACAATGTTACACAGGAGTTCTTCCTGCTAACAGGGCTAGGGCTTGGATCCTGAATACTTCATTTGAACCCAGGATGGGTTAAAAATGTTTCTTTTCTGCTTCTATAGCTCAAGAATTCTAAGAACATTTAGAGTGCAAGTAACTTCTCATCACCAAGAGAAACACAGGAAGCTCTTGAACATCTGACCTTTCCAAAGTGGAAGTTAGATTGTCCTAGACTTTCCTGCCCTAGCTGGCTTCACCCTGTGATCCTCAGATCTCAGCCTCCTGAGCTAGGTGACGGGTGTGAGCCACTGCTGTTCTGCTGGGTTCAGAAGTGTAATGACATCAACAATACAAGTCAACTGCTCATCACAAAGGGCTTGGTGAGCATATTATGTCTTTCAACATTTGACCTTTCAGAACCCCGTAGGACACAAGGTTATAATGCTAGAGTCGGAGAGGCTGGGCATATGGATCTGCTACACTTGAACCTTGAGCTCTGATTTCAATTCTGCTATATATCAGCGTTCATTTTCCAGAGAATGTTCTCCTAATTAGCAAATAGAAAAAGTACTTTGATTAACCCTTAGTTTTTTCCAATTGTGTGAATTGAATCAAATCTAGGGACTTTTCCTGAGCAAGGCAAACACTGTATCACTTGATCCACAGCACCACGTGGGTTTTTTGGTGGTTCATTGGAGATAACAGTCTAACAGGCTTTCCTTGTCTAGGGTGACTTTGAACGGTGGTCTTCAGATCTCAGCCTCCAGAGAAGCTAGAGTTCCAAGTGTGAGCCACTGGCATATGGCCTATTGTTTTTGACAGTGTTGGGGCTTCTTTTCCTCAAGGCTAGTGCTCTACCACTTGAGCCCCTCCACAGCTTCTGGCTTTTTCTGAGTATGTGGCACTGAGGATTCAAACCCTGACATTCATGCAAGCTGAGTGAGCTCTTTACCACTAAGCCACATTTCTTGCCCCACCCTTACAATTTTATCCCTCAACTTGCCTATCCTCAAGAAAAGGCTTCTGACTATAAATCATCTAAAGAGATCACTATAGTAAGGTATCCAAAGGTAAAACACAGCTCATACTTGAGTGAGACTCTAAACATGTGAAGACTGTGACAAATGCCTCCATTTAATTATGTATCATGTTTCAACACTTAATAAAAGATTAATGAAAAATGAGTTAATGTCCTAAATTATTGTGTATAATTTTATAATGTATGTTCAAAATGTAATAAATATTATGTGTATAATAATAAAACAATAAATTAATGAATCAAATAAAAATAAAATACAAAATCAATAGTAATCATAATATGTAAAAAACATACATATGTAAGTATATATCATATATTACACATGTATAGAAATAGTTTTTCCATTGCAGGGCCTTCATTCAGTCCCTGGGAACTCTAGCCTGAATTTCTTTTCCTCAAGGACAGTGAGATTTGCCTTCACCTATGGTGCAAAAGAGTTACCTGGACAGTGAGATCAAATCCCAGCAATAGCAGAAATACTGGCACCAGTTCCAAGACTGAGACTTAATTTTTTTTAATGGAAGCTGTTATGTTTATTCAGTTTCATACTGAGCATTAAACAAAAATGCAGTGGTGAATTTTGTACAGCTATTCAGACATCCTTCCTTTACCCCTAAAGTGCTTCTCTGAGAACTATATTGTTTCATTTTGTACATTTTTATTGTAAAAATGTTGTACAGAGGGGTTACAGTTACATGAGCAAGGTAATGAGCACATTTCCTATTGAGCATTGTTGCTTCCTCCTTTGTTTTCCCCCTACCATACCTTCTCTACCATGTCCACAACTACTCCCACTGCCCAGGTCAGTGACTTATTTTTTTTTTTTTTTTGGCTTGGCACAGGGTTTGAATTCAAGTAGTGACAACACTGCACCTTCCCACACATTGCTACAGATTTACCAAGACCCTGAGTTCAAATCCTAGGCTAGGAAAGAAAACTGGCAGAAATTCCAAACAAATGAGCTTTATTTTTTTAATTTAATTAATTAATTAATTAATTTTTATTTGGTTTTTTTTTTTTGGTCAACAATGGGGCTTGAACTCATGTCATGGAAGTCTGCCTTAGCTTCGATCACCCTAGGCTGGGGTGCAGCATCTGGACCCATATTCGATTGGGGGATCTTAGGCCCAGAGGGATTGCAGGAAGAAAAAAAAAAGCTGGAAAGCACAAAAAGTGGTGAGCTGCAGAGGGCTGAAGGGTTTTAGGATTTTTTTCTTTGCAAGGTGACTATCCTGGGTCTTAATTACCTGGTTGCAAAGTGGAGCTGACCTGCCATTGCTGAAAGCTGGCGGGCTATCAGGGAAACCATAGGCCAACCTGTCAACATAGGCTCTTGGTTCAAACCCGGTCCTGACACCTAACAATGGTAGAAGAATGCAAGGGACTTGTTCCTATGCATATGAATGCCAACTGAAAGAGTAGTTCATGCACAAGTTGAGTCTAAAATTGGATGCAATAATCCTAGGTTGCTGATTGATCTTAATAGTTTATTAAGCATGAAAAGAATAATATTCCTGTAATGGTGGAATAATAAATACCTAAGTGTTGGTAGGAACATAGTAGGTGTCATTCAGTCATAGAAGGCTCTGGCACTGTTTACCAATGTTTATTTATTTGTATACCACCACCTGCCTATCTATTTATCGCTGTTTTGGCCAAACCTGGGGCACAAACTAGCGCCTAGTAACCACCTGACAGCTTCATTGGCTAGAGGATGCCATGCTCACACTCACCCATTCATGAATTCGGCCTGCTAGGCCCTGCATTCAGATCCTAGCAATACCAGGCATGATGGAGAACACATCTACAAATCTAGATGCTATGTGATAGGATGTAAACAATATAATAAATGGTATAGGTGTCATCAGAGTCAATAAAATAAATGGTAAATAAATGAATAAAACAAGAAATAAAATAAATAACCACACCAAACATGATATGGACTGAACATCTGTATGGAAGTAGAAATCCTTTCTTTAAAAGGTATATAAGGAGTATGTTTTCCAGGACTGAGGCTTGAATTCAGCCCCCCTAGGAGGAGGGAATGGCAGGAGAGCCTGAGATTCTCTTTTCTGGACCTAGAAAGAGCCATGGAATGCAATTGTTATCATCCTTGAATGAGTAGTTTGTGCATGATGGGAGTAGAAAATGATAGGCAAGACTCATGGGGTATCAATTATTTGTAATGAAGAATTGATGAAGCATGACAATAATCATCACAGTCATGAAATGGAGGAATCAGGAAAGATCCAAAAATCGGAAGTCACACGGTAGATTGGATTCCATCACAGGTCGCCTTCTCTCCTACTCTATACAAATACGTACTTATTTGCATACTAAATTCAGCTTATGAATGGATAACTATTGTGCTCTCCTTCTCCCTCCCCGGGGACTAAAACTCAGGTCCTGGGAATGGCCTAGCTCCTTGGTGGTTCACAGGCTGCTGTGCTCATATGGACCCATTCGCCAATTGGGCTTGCTAGGCCCCGAGTTCAGATCCCAGCCTGTCAAAATATTCATACTGATGTCAGAAGCCAATCGTTGCACCTGTTTTCTTTTCCTGTTTAAGTCCTGGGTCTCAGCTAGGATGGAGAATGCATGGGCCACCCTGTGGCCATGGGAATAGGGTGTCATCCACGTCAGCCGAGTTTTACCTGTCATCATATACTCAAGAAAATACACAATATATCCATGAATAGCATGCAAAATAGAGAATAACTACATTAAGGCACGATGCAGTCCAAACACAGATGTGAATATACATCCCATGTTTTAATGATGAATTGAGGACTCTTGTGGCCTCCCTAGGGCTTGATCTCAGCTCCTGGGAACAGCCCAGCTCCTTAGTGGTTCACAGGCTGGTGTGCTCACGTGGACTCATTGGGCAGTTGGGCCTCCTAGGCCCCGAGTGTGAATCCCAGCACTGCCAAAAATTCACCCTGATGTGAGAAGCCAGTCATTGCACCTGTTTTCCTGTGCTTTGCAAGTTCTGGGTCTCAAGTAGAATGGAGAATGTATAAGCAACTCTATACTCATGGGACTAGGTTGTCATCCAGGTCACCACAGTTATATCTGTCATCTTATACTCAAGAAAATACACAATATATCAATGAATAAGAGACAAACTAAAGATGCTGCCCACCCATGTATGGAAATATAGATCCTTGGTTTAATTATGAATTTATGACTATATTGTCCCCCACCAGGGCTCGATCTCAGGTGTAGGGAATGACCTAGTGCCTTAGTGGCTCACAGGCTGGTGTGCTCACGATGACCCTTTCACCAATTGGGTCTGCTAGGCCTTGACTTCAAATCTTAGCACAGCCAAAAGTTTCATCCTGATGTGAGAATCCAATCAATCTACCTGTTTTCCTTTCCTGTGAAAGTCCTGGGTCTCAGAGAGGATGGAGAATGCTATATAGGCAACTCTATAGCCATAGAAATAGGTTGTCCAGGTCAGCACAGTTATATCTGTCACCATACTCAATAATATACACAATATATCCATGAATAAATAAAATTTAAAAAAATCTACACTGAATGCAAGATGCATACGACACCTGTAGGTAAAGAGAGATCCTATGTTTAAAAAAGATGGGTTTATTATTTTGTCCAGTGCTGGGGCTTCAAATTAGGCTCTGGACTGGAACTGACATTCTAGTCTTTAAGGATGGAGAGCTTCCCCTTCCCCCACTGTGCAACAGAGCTACCCAGACTTGAGTTAAAATCTCAGCACTAACAAAAGATTCCTCCTTATGTCAGAAGGCAATCGTTGCACATGTTTTCCTCTCCTGTGAAAGTCCTGGGTCTCAACAAGGATGGAGAATGCATAGGCAACCCTATAACCATAGGAACAGGTTGTTATCCATGTCAGCACAGTTATACCTGTCACCATACTCAATAAAATACACAATACCTCCATGAATTAGTCACAAAATAAGAAGTACACTGAATGCAAAATGCTGTCCACACATGTATGTAAACATAGATCCTATGTTTAAATAATGAATTTATGACTATCGTGGGGCACCCTGAGGATCAATGTCAGATCCTGGGAATGGCCTAGCTCCTTAGTTGCTCACAGGCTGGTTTGTTCACCTTGACCTATTCACCAATTGGTCCTGCTAGGCCCTGAGACAGATCCCAGCATTACCAAGTGGATCATGAAGTAAGAAACTGAGTGTGAAAATTATTTTTCTTTTCTCTGAGAGTCCCGGGTGTTAGGCATGATGGAGAACATGTCTACAAATCTAGATGCTATGTGATAGTATATCATCAATGTAATCAATGGAGTGGGTGTCATCGTAGTAAATAAAATCAATGGTAAATAAATGAATAAAAAAATACAAGGAACAACCACACCAAACATGTATGGACTGAACATCTATAGGTAAGTATAAATCCTATCTTTACAATGTATATAAATAGTATGTTTTCCAGGGCTGGGGCTTGAATTCGTGCCTAATGAACAGGCCTGACTTTCTTATCTTCAAGTATGGTAAGATTCCGCTTCATCCACAGTGCTGCAGGTGTACCCAGACCCTGAGTTCAAATCGAAAACCATGCAGAATAAACAGTGCAAATTGCAAGCCAGAGAGCTAATTTATTTTTTATTTTATTTTATTTTATGCTCAGCACGGCACTTGAACTCAGGTCGTGGCAACTCTGCCTCATCTTTGATCACTCAAGGCTGGGATGGAGCCACTGGACCCATAGCTGCTCCTGGGATCCTAAACCCCCAGGCCTTTCAGGGAAAAAATGCACAGAAAAATGCTGTGAGACAGCTTTTTATGTTTTCTTCCTTTGCACAGTGACCTCCTGGGTCTAAATGACACTTTTGCAAAGGGTACTTCACCTTGCATTGCTGAAGGCTGACAGAATACCGGGAAAACCATAGGCCCACGTGGCAATGTAAGCCCTGATTTCGAATCCCTGTCCTGACACAACCAATGGCAGGAGATACTAAGAGACTTATTCTCATCCATAGGAATAACAATGGAATGTTATCAATGTCACGGTTGAATGAGTTGATTGTGAATGATGCTTCTATAAAATTAGACAGCATAATTTCAGGAGGCTGATTGATTTTATTTAATATTATGAAGCATTAAAAGAATACTATTACAGGAACACAATAATTTCAAGACACAGATTTCATTAATAATTTAAAGATGAAAACAATAACAATAATTACATGGAGGTATAATAAATATCCAAGAATTGGTACAAATGTAGTCTATATAAGTGAATAATGGACAGACATCTCTGGAATGGTATAAAGATATATATTTATTAGTATACAGCCACCTGCGTGTCAATCTGTTCTTATTTTGTCAACCCCTGGGACTCGATCTTAGGTCGTAGGAACTGCCTGTCAGCTCAATTTGCCCCAGGATGGCATGTGGACACTCACCCATTCATTAATTTGGCCTTGTAGGCCATGAGTTCAGATGCCAGCACTCCCAAATAATGAATCGTGGAGTAAGAATCTGATGGTGACATGTTTTCCTTTACTGTGAATCTTCTGAGTGTCAGGTATGAAGTGGAATACTATGCAGACCTATGTCCTATGTAATCAATGTAATCAATGTTCTATGTGTCATAATAGTCAATAAAATAAATGGTCAATACATGATTAAAACAAAAAATAAAATGAATAACTCCACTGAATGCAATATGGAGTCAACATATGTATATAAATATAAATTATATATGGAAATTATACATGAGTAGGATGTTTTCTAGTGGTGGGGATCAATTTCAGGCCTAAGGAACAGACTTGATTTTCTTGACTTCAAGGAGGAAATCTTCCCCTTCCCACACAGTGCAAGAGAGTTACCCAGACCATGAGTTCCAATCCCAGTCTTGGCAGAAAAAAATGGCACCTTTATAGTATATAAGGTCCATTTCTTAGGTATTTCATTATGCCTCCATTTTATGAATGTGATTGTTTAAATGCTTAATAAAGTATTAATTAAAATCAATCAGTGTCTTATAATATAATTGTGTATCATTTTATCCTAGAATTATTCAAGAACTGTTCAATCATGACTTACATCACATTCCATTGGTAATCATATGGATAGGAACAAGTTTCTTAGGATCTCCTACCATTTAGAGGTGGCAGGACCAGGATTCGAATAGTGGGCTCCAGCTCCCACCACTTCAACCTGAGGATAGGGAACTCACCAGTCTGTCCAAGAACATAAACAAGACCAGTGATTAGGCAGGCCCAGTGGCTCTCAGCAATCCTCCTTGTTACTTACAAGGCTGTGATGGGAGGATCAAAGTTATCCTAAGTAGGAAAGTCCTTGAGACCCCTGTCCAACTTCAGTGCCAACAAAGCCAGAAGAAGAGCCGTGTAGCTCTTGTGGTAGAGGGCTAGCCTTGAGCAAAAGCAGCTCATGGACTGTGCCCAGATCCTGAGTTCAAGGTTTGGGACTGGCAACAAATAGACACACACAAGAATCTGTGCAGCCATCTGGCTAAAGCAGGTTACCCTCTTGTCCCCAACTGAATTGGACATAGTTCCCTGGGAAAGTGGCTGGGGGAGTTGCTGTCATCTTGACTCTGCCCATGCTGCGTGCATCACATGATTCTGGCCACACCACCATTCTTTCAGGTTTCTTTCTGACCAATGGAATACAAGAATGGTGGCCACGCCCACATTCCATGCTGCCTTGTACCCCCTGGGATTCCCTAGGTTGGTTGTCACCACTACCAGCAGTTGAAGAAGGTAGAGATGGCTGAGTAGTGAGCAAGAGTCTTGAAGCTACTTTGGAGTAGGAAATTGATGTGCCCTCCTGCTTCCCAGCCCCCTCCCCTGCTTCCTCCAAGGCACTGCATTTCAAACCTCAGATGGTGGCAAGCTGCTAGCAGGCTTGCAGCCCTGGCCTGGTCCCGGCCCCTAGTCCTCTGCTCTGGACCTGAGTGTCTGCAATGCCCCCTCCATTGCTGCTCACCCCACCAGGAGCATCCACCAACAACTTCTCCCAGCAGCACAGGTGAGTGGCCGCCCAGTGGGACTGCACCCTGCGACACCCGTACCTGGTGACACCCCCCCAGGTCACAGACTTGCACCTCCCTCACACCCCACAGTCCAGCCAGGGTTCTGCCACTAATGTGCCCCAAGGGTAGGGGCTGGGTGACAACCCGGGGATCCCACTCCCATCCCTAGTGACCAATGTCCCAGGAAAAGGGCAGATGCAGTGATGGGTGAAAAGGGAGCACCACATGGTCCCTGGCCTGAAGCAGTGGGAGCTACAGAGCCATGCATCTGCACCCTTTCTCTCCCTAGTGGGAACTTGGTGGCTTTAGTCAAAGGTGGGGAACAGCACCTCCACACCTGCCTTCTCGGGTCTTTTCCTTTTTTCTGGGCATGGGGGTTGTTGGATGCAGAAGATAGACCCCCCCCTTGCTGTGTGAGCTCTTGTCTTCTGTGCTTGGTCATCCTTTCACCTGAAGAGGGTCCCAGAAAATCCCAGGAGGGAGGTGAAGGGCGCTGGGGGTCAAAGCAGAAGGTGAATATCTGGGAGGAATAACCCCAACACCCCCCACACACACATACACCCGGCCTGTTTCCCTACCCTTCAGCTGTCAACAGTTCTCACAGGGTCATCACCTTTCCCAGCTCTGCCAGTATGTTCTGATGCTTGGTCCATTTGGTCTCCTCGTCCTTCCCAAGAATCCACCAATTAGCCCAGAAGCATGTAGGTCAGAAGGAAGGAGTATGTCGATGTATGTAGCCTCAGGACTCCATCCATTTCACCAACAATGCCCCACCCCTGGTCAGACACCCCTCTGAGGTCAATTCTTTCCTGGACAACCAGCTATCATCAGGCTCGGTAGGCTTTTCACCTCTACCTTAAAATCTTCTCACTATTTTGCTACATAGATGAGTTGGCCCTGTAAAAGGCTGTTCTAGGGTAGCTCGCTTGATTTCGGGGTTTCTGGCTAAAGTTCTCTTTGTCAGAGTTTTTCTAGTTAGTTCATTATGCAAAAGGTAGAAGGTTTAATCTTTGCTTTTGTTTACTTAGGTTTTTCTTTCATCATTCCCTTACGGTACTTTATCTATAGCGCTAAAGTTAAATTTTCTATCACCTATACTAATTTTTGGTAAATGGTTTGATTTATGTGTATGTTATAGTTAATTTGGTAGTTTGTTAGGCTAGATATAGTTCAAAATATTCATTAGGATTGAAATCTTCTGAGTGTAAGTCAGATGCTTTGTTTAAGCTATATTTTGATTCTTCCAAGTGCACTTTCCAGTACACTTACCTTGTTACGACTTGTCTCCTCTCAGTCTTTTATAATTAGGCGTTATGGACTTTTAATTGTTAAGGTTTTGAGGAGGGTGACGGGCGGTGTGTGCGTGCTTCATTGCTCGATTCAATTAAACACTCTAGTTTTAATTTACTACTAAATCCTCCTTTATTCTATGGGTTTCACATAGAGTTTCGTAATGTTCTAGGATTAGAAAATGTAGCCCATTTCGCTCCACTCCATGGGCTACACCTTGACCTAACTTCTTTAGTATTTACTTTTTTAGCTTACTTTGTTTCCTTTTTAGGGTCAGCTGAAGATGGCGGTATATAGGCTGAATTAGCAAGGAGTGGTAAGGTAGATCGGGGATCATCGATTATGGAACAGGCTCCTCTAGATGGATATAAAGCACCGCCAAGTCCTTTGAGTTTTAAGCGGTGGCTTGTAGTTCTCTGGCGAATAGTAGTGTTATGAACTATTTATGTTTATGGCTAGATATAGTGGGGTATCTAATCCCAGTTTAGGCTATAGCTTTAGTGCTGCAAAAATTAGAGTCACCTTCGTTGTTTATTTTTGCTTTGACTTTGGCTTTTTACAGCGGAGTCAAGTCTTAACTCTATTTGTTTATTTGTTTAGGATTTTAGCACTCTTTACGCCGTTGGAATATTAACTTGGGTCTTTCGTATGACCGCGGTGGCTGGCACGAAATTTACCGACCCTAATGGAGTCAGCATAACTTAGTCAAACTTTCGTTCATTGCTTAAATTTTATCACTGCTGTATCCCGTGGGGGTGTGGTTAGACTTAGTGTTTTTAGCTGCGTGTTTGGGTACGCGTGCTTTATACTTGCTCCTTGTGGTCTGTAGAAAACATAGGGCTGAACTCACTGGTTTACGGATATTTGCATGTGTAATTTTGCTGACAGTTAATATTAAGGCTAGGACCAAACCTTTATGCTTATGGAATCTTTATGATTCATCTAGGCATTTTCAGTGCCTTGCTTTATAATTTAAGCTACGTAAACTAGTAGATTTAGGGAATGTATGTTGTGACAAAGTTTTTGGTTAGTTAATTTTGAAGAGCTGGTTGTGTAAAGGTGTGATAAGGTGATAGGGACTAAAGTGTTAATTTAGAATAATTGCTCCTAATAGGTCTACTAAAATCCTGTTTTTGGCTCACTTCTAGGTAAAGTGATGGGTTGAGTGGGAAGTTAGTATTAATTCTTTTTTATGTCTTATAAGCATTCATAAAATACTCGAGAGCTTAATCTTTTGGGGGTCTTGAATATTAGACAGGAAGTCCAGCTTGACTGTAATTGACTATATCAAGCCTTTGACGGCTCAGCTGAGCCTCGCATCCCGAAAATAAAAAAATACCAAAGGCATGACAGAACAGTTATGTTGATCATGGGCTGATTAGACATTAATCCATCGAGATGTCTTATTTAAGAGGAACGTGTGGGCGGTTTTACAGCTTATGGCCCTGAGGTAAGAACCAGATGTCAGGTATAGTTTCATATTAGCTACCCCCAAGTGTCATGGGCCCGGAGTGAGAAGAGAGGTCCTAGTGGGCGGGTTGATGGTTTCACGGAGGATGGTAGATTAAGAGACCACCAATGGAAGGGGATAGTCATTTGGACGAGGATAGACATAATAGGATGGTTTATGCACGTATCATGGAAAATCTAGTCTTTCGAACATTAATTTAAGTTACTGTGACGATATTCATGTTGTTGTGGTTGAATTGTGAGATTAAGATTTAATGTATTATGTACGATAGTTAGTTTAATGTACTGTACGATATTAATGTGGTAATAAAATAATGCACGAATTACATACAAGGAGTAGTTGAAGTAGAATTCCAGCTTTGGGAGTTGGAGGTAGGATGTAAAATCTTCTCCTTGATGCTTTGAGAGGAGGGGCTCCTCATTTCAGGTTTACAAGACCTGAGTAATTATTATACTATCAAAGCTTCTTCATTTTAATATTTTGTTTTCGATGATTCCTGCGATTGGCATGAGGGCTAGGATAATTGTGAAGTATGAAAGGGATGCGATTTGTCCGATGATGATAAATGGTCGTTCAACTGGTTGGCCTCCAATTCATGTTAGGATTAGGACATCGGACACTAATAATCAGAATAGGAATTGGCTGATGGGTCGGAATATCAGGCTTCGTTGGCTGGCTGTTTGAATATGTGGTAGTAGGGCTAGAATGAGGATTGAGAGAACTAATGCGATGACTCCTCCTAGTTTATTAGGGATTGAGCGTAGAATGGCGTATGCAAAAAGGAAATATCATTCTGGTTTAATATGTGGTGGAGTATTTAAGGGATTTGCGGGTGAATAATTGTCTGGGTCTCCTAATAGATCTGGAAAAAATAAAACTAGAGTGAGGAAGAAGGCTAGGAGAAGTACGATTCCTAGGAAGTCTTTGGTTGTGTAGTATGGGTGGAATGGGATTTTATCACAGTCTGATGGGATTCCCAGGGGGTTGTTGGATCCGGTTTCATGAAGGAAGAGAAGGTGTACTATGGCTATGGCGGCGATGATGAATGGTAGGATGAAGTGGAATGCGAAGAATCGGTTGAGGGTAGCTTTATCTACTGAGAAACCCCCTCAGATTCATTCTACAAGGTCTGTTCCAATGTATGGGATGGCTGATAGGAGGTTAGTAATGACGGTTGCTCCCCAGAAAGATATTTGGCCTCAAGGGAGTACGTAGCCTATGAAAGCTGTGGCTATTGTTAGAAATAATAGGATGATGCCGATGTTTCAGGTTTCTATGTAGGAGTAGGAGCCGTAATAGATTCCTCGGCCGATGTGTAGGTATAGGCAAATAAAGAAGAGGGATGCTCCGTTGGCATGGATGTAGCGGATTAGTCACCCGTAGTTCACATCTCGGCAAATATGGGTGACGGATGAGAATGCTGTGAGAGTATCGGGTGTGTAGTGTATGGCTAGGAAGAGGCCTGAGGTGATTTGAATAATTAGGCACATTCCTAGGAGTGATCCAAAGTTTCATCAACCAGAGATGTTTGATGGCGCTGGGAGGTCAATAAATGCGTGATTAACTAGTTTTATTAGTGGATGGGTTTTTCGTATAATTGTCATTATAGGTTACTATAGTTGAATGGACAACGATGGTTTTTCATGTCATTAGTCTTGGTTTTAAATCCATGTAGTAATTATGACATATTTAATGTATATTTTATTAACAATCATGGTAGTGGGATTTGTTGGTGTTGCTGCGAAACCTTCTCCTATTTATGCTGGTTTAGGGTTAATTGTAAGTGGTGGAGTGGGGTGTGGGTTAATGATGATTTATGGTAGTTCATATATAGGATTAATGGTGTTTTTAATTTATTTGGGAGGTATGTTGGTGGTGTTTGGTTATACTACTGCTATGGCTACTGAGGAGTATCCTGAGGCTTGGAGTTCAAATATTTGGCTGTGAATGTTGCTTTTATTAGGTGTGATTATGGAAGCTATGTTGGTGGTTTATGTTCTCGGGGATGAGGGGGTAGATATGTTGGAGAATGTTTATGATGTGGATGAGTGGGTTGTAATTGATAATGATGAGATGGTATTGGTTCGGGAAGATTCGGTAGGTGTAGGGGCTATATATAGTTATGGTAGTTGATTAATAGTTGTAGCAGGGTGGTCTTTGTTTGTTGGTGTATTTATTATTGTGGAAGTAACACGAGGTGTTTAGATTACTGTAATTGTAAGGATTATTATTGATAGGAGGAACGATAGGAAGTAAATTGTGATTAGTCCTTTGTGGTTTGATGTTGAAGTTGAAGCTGTTTGTTGAAGTGAGCTGATAAGTTTGGGTATGGATTTTTCAGTTCAGATATAATCTAATGTTGATGTGGCTATTTTTTGGTTGAAAGATAGGTTGTAATATGGAATTAGGCGGTGGATTATTAGTGGGAAATAGCCTAATAGTTTTGAAAAGTTGTAGTGGTATGTGTTTGGGTAAAGTTTTAAGTGAAGTGTTATAGAGTTGAGTTCTATTGCAATAACAAATCCTGTTAGTGTAATGATAAGTGCTGTGAGTTTGATAATGGTTGGTATGGTTATAGTTTGGGTAGTGATTGGGTTGATGAAATTTGAAATGATATATCCTGCAAAGATACTGCAAAGATACACAAAGATACACAAAGGCGTGTGATAGGGTTTGTTAGGTTTGGGTGGTTTTCATTGATGTTAGTGATGGGTTGAAATCGTGGATTATTGGTTAGAACAAAAAAGATGATTCGTGTACTGTAGGCTGCAGTAAGTGAGGTTGCGATGAGAGTAATGATTAGGGCTCAGGCGTTTGTATACGACGTATTCATTGCTTCGATGATGAGGTCTTTGGAGTAAAATCCTGTGAGGAAAGGTATGCCTGTGAGTGCTAGGCTGCCAGTGATTAGGGCTGAAGTGGTGAATGGAAGGATTTTGGCTAAGCCTCCTATTTTTCGGATGTCTTGTTCGTCGTTTAGGCTGTGGAAAATTGATCCTGAACATATAAATAGTATGGCTTTGAAGAAAGCGTGTGTGCAGATGTGTAGGAAGGATAGGTATGGTTGATTGATTACTAGGGTGACTATTATTAATCCTAGTTTGCTGGAAGTTGAGAATGCGATAATTTTTTTAATATCATTTTGTGTAAGGGCGCAGATAGCTGTGAATAGGGTTGTTAGGGCGCCAATACATAGAATGAGGGTGAGTATTTTTTGGTTGTTTTGAATAATAGGGTGGAAACGGATTAGAAGGAAGATTCCTGCAACAACTATTGTGCTGGAATGGAGTAGAGCTGATACGGGTGTTGGACCTTCTATTGCTGAGGGAAGTCATGGATGTAGGCTGAATTGGGCAGATTTTCCAGTGGCTGCTAAGATAAGTCTTAGGATTGGAATATTTGAGTTTGTATCTATTGAGAAGATTTGTTGAAAGTCTCATGAGTTGTAGTTAGAGAATAGTCAGGCTATTGTTAGGACAAATCCGATGTCTCCAATTCGGTTGTAGATAATTGCTTGGAGGGCAGCTGTGTTAGCATCTGATCGTCCGTATCATCATCCGATTAGAAGAAAAGATATAATTCCTACACCTTCTCAGCCAATAAAAAGTTGAAATATGTTGTTGGCTGAGACTAGGATGAGTATAGTGATTAAAAATATAAGAAGATATTGTATAAATTGGTTAATGTTGGGGTCGTTGTGTATGTATCATGTGGAGAATTCTATGATTGATCATGTAACGTAAAGTGCGATTGGTATGAAGATAATTGATAGAAAGTCTAGCTTGAAACTAGCATAGAGTTCTATTGATTGGATAGTTGTTCAGTGTCAGTTGGAGATGTAGGCTTCTTTATTAGAGTTTAGGTAAATTGTGAGGGGGATTATGCTGATTAGGAATGCGTATTTGATTGATGATGTAACTTTTTTTGGAAAGTTGGAGTTGGGTGGTGATAAGGTGGAAAAAAGGAGAGGGTAAAGTAAGATTGTGAATATAGCTAGGGTGGATAATGAATATATGTTGATTACTTTAGTTTGGAGTTGCACCAAGTTTTTGGTTCCTAAGACCAATGGATTACTGTTATCCTAATAAAGTATGTAAAAAAGCCATATTGTTATATATGGGTCAGAAGAATTAGCAGTTCTCTGTTTGTACTTTTTTGGTAATTAAAAGATGTAACTCTTTATTTTTAGATTCACAGTCTAAGGTTTTTAATAAACTATAATTACAGAAAGTGGGGCCTAGGATTAGGCTCGGTTTAGCAGTTAGAAGGAGGATAGGAAGAAGGTGAAGGGAGATAAGTGTATGTTCGCGTGTAAAGGACGGTTTAATGTTTATAGTGTGGGGGGTAGTTTTACCTCGTTGTGTGGTGGTTAGTATATATAGTGAGTATGATGCGGTAATTAATATATTGATTCCTATAAGTAGAATGGTTGGGTGGGATCATGAGAATGACGAAATGATGATTATTAGTTCACCGATTAGGTTGATGGATGGAGGGAGGGCTAGGTTTGTGAGTGAGATTAGTAGTCATCAGAGGGCTATTAGTGGTAGGATTGTTTGTAATCCTCGTGCTAGGAGCATAGTTCGGCTGTGGATGCGTTCATAGTTGGTATTGGCTAGGCAGAACAGGGCTGAGGAGGTTAATCCGTGGGCGATTATTATGGCTGTAGCTCCTATATAACTTGATGGGGTTTGGATGAGGATAGCGATAATTACTAGGGCCATGTGGCTTACTGATGAATATGCAATTAGTGATTTTAAGTCTGTTTGTCGTACACAGATTGAGCTGGTTATGATTCTGCCTCATAGAGATAAAAGGATGAATGGGTATATTAAAGATTTGTTAAGGGGTTCGATAAAGGTTGAAATACGTATCATTCCGCAACTGCCTAGTTTTAATAATACAGCTGCTAGAACTATTGAACCTGCAATTGGGGCTTCTACGTGGGCTTTTGGTAATCATAGGTGAAGGCCATATAATGGTATTTTTACTATGAATGCCATTATACATGCTAGCCATACTAGGTGGTTGGATCATGAATTGTATAGTGGGTCTGATTTGTACATCAGGAAAGTTATGTTTAAAGTTCCTATTGATTTGTACATATAGATTAATGCGATTAAGAGGGGTAGGGACCCTATAAGTGTGTAGAATAGGAAATATGAGCCAGCATTTAGGCGTTCAGTTTGGTTTCCTCATCGTGTAATGATAATTAGGGTTGGAATTAGTGTGGCTTCAAATAGGATATAAAACATGATTAGTTCGGTTGATGAAAATGTTAGGATAAGCGTAGTTTGGAGGATGATGATTAGGGAGATGTAAGTTTTTTTTCAGATGAGTGGTTCTTTAGATATATGTTTTTGGCTAGCAATGATTATCAGTGGGGTGAGTCATGATGTAAGGATTAGGAGTGGTGTAGATAAGGGATCAGTGAAAAATAGTGTTGAGAAATGTATGGAGCTGTAGGGGGTAATTAGGGTTGTGATAGTTAGAAGGCTGATTAAAAAGCTATATATGGATGTATTGATTCAGATAAACTTGTTGTTTGATAGTCAGACTATTGGGATTATTATAATTATGGGTATGGTGATTTTTAGCATTGTAGTAGGTTGAGGTTTTGTACGTAATCTGAGCCATATGTGTTTGAGACTTTTACGAGTAGGGCTAGTCCTACAGCTGCCTCGCATGCAGCTAGGACAAGTAGAATGATGGGTAGGGTATATGAGAAGGATGAGTGTGTAAAAGTAATGGAGATAGATAATATGAGAAAGAGGGATAATATTATTCCTTCTAGGCATAGGAGGGATGATATTATGTGTGAGCGAAAGATCATTGTGCCTATTAGAGAGGCTAAGAAAGTGATATAGAGGTTAAATATGGTTAGGGACATTAATAGTAGTTATGAATTGAATCATAATTTAATGAGCCGAAATCAATTGTTTTGAGTTAAACTAACTACTAATTCGTTTCATTCGAGGCCTTTGTTTGATCATTCGTAAGCTAGGCCTAGGGCTAAGATAATTAGGAGAAGTGAGAGGGTTGTAGTTGAATGAATAAAGGTTAGTTGAAGAGCTCATGGAAGTGGGATGAGGAGGGCAATTTCTAGGTCAAATAGGAGAAATGTAATGGCTACTAAGAAAAATTTTATTGAGAAGGGTAGGTGGGCGGAACCTATTGGATCAAATCCACATTCATATGGGCTTACTTTTTCTGAGTAGATGTTTATTTGTGGAATTCAAAAGGCGATTAGGATTAATAGTGAGGCTAGGCTGAAATTAATTATTAGTGCGATTAGTATATTTATTACTTTTCTTTGGAGTGAGACCAAAACTGGGTGATTGGAAGTCACAAGTACTGAGTTATACTAGAAAAGTATGATCCTCATCAATAGATGGAAACGTATAGGAATAGTCAGACAACATCTACGAAGTGTCAATATCATGCTGCTGCTTCAAAGCCGAAATGGTGAGTGGATGTGAAGTGAAATTGGATTTGGCGGATTAGGCATACGATAAGAAATGTCGTTCCGATTATGACGTGTAGGCCGTGGAAGCCTGTTGCTATGAAGAATGTTGAGCCGTACACGCTGTCTGAAATAGTAAAGGAGGTTTCTATATACTCGGAGCCTTGTAAAACAGTAAAGTAAATTCCTAAAATGATAGTAATGAAAAGGGCTTGAATTATTGGTATTCGGTTACCTTCTATGAGGCTGTGATGGGCTCATGTAATTGATACCCCGGAGGCTAGGAGGACGGAGGTGTTGAGTAGTGGGACGTCTAGAGGGTTTAGTGGAGTGATTCCGGTTGGTGGTCAGCATCCTCCTAGTTCGGGAGTGGGGGCTAGGCTGGAGTGGTAGAATGCTCAGAGAAGCCTGCAAAGAAAAATACTTCTGAAATAATAAATAGGACTATGCCATAGCGGAGGCCTTTTTGTACTACAGGGGTGTGATGGCCTTGGAATGTTCCTTCGCGGATTACGTCTCGTCACCATTGGAATATAGTAAGGATGCTGGACAAGATGCCTATGAGGAGGAGTGGGGTAGATTGATAGTGAAATCATATTACTATTCCTGATGTTAGGAGGAGAGCTGATATAGCTCCAGTTAATGGTCAAGGGCTGGGGTTTACTATATGGAAGGCATGTGTTTGGTGTGTCATTAGGTGTTGTCATGTAGGTATAGGCTTACTAGTAGGGTGAAGACGTAGGCTTAAATAAGGGCTACTGCAAATTCTAGGATTGTAAGGAGTGTGAGGATGATGAATGCTGCCAGTGATCCGATTGGGCTGATAGAATAGATTGCCAAGGCAGCTCCTCCGATTAGGTGGATTAGGAGGTGGCCAGCTGTAATGTTGGCTGTTAGTCGTACAGCGAGGGCTATAGGTTGGATTAATAGGCTGATGGATTCGATGATAATGAGTATCGGGATTAGTGGTAATGGAGTTCCTTGGGGTAGAAAGTGGGCTAGTGATGATTTAGTTTTGTGTCGGAATCCTAGTAAGACAGTTCCTGCTCATAATGGGATGGCTATTCCCAGATTTATGGAGAGTTGGGTGGTAGGGGTGAATGAGTGGGGTAGGAGGCCTAGGAGGTTTGTGGAGCCAATAAAGATAATTAGGGATGTGAGTAAGAGTGTTCAGGCGCGTCCTTTTAGGCTGTGTATGCTTATTATTTGTTTAATGATTGCGTTTATGAGTCATGATTGGAAAGTAGTGAGACGATTATTGATTAGTCGTTTTGGTTGTGGAAATAGGATGGATGGGAATATAATGACTGCAATAACGAGGGGTAGGCCTAAAAGTGTAGGGGTAGTGAAAGAGGTGAATAGATTTTCGTTCATTTTAGTTCTCAAGGATTGGTTGGTTTGATGTGCATAAGATTTTTGGTTTGTGGTTGAGGGTGGAAGGTGAAAGTTTTGAATTTTAATTGGAAGATAATGAATAGGGTAAGTGTGGTTCCTGTAATGGTAACAAATCATGAAGATGTATCTAATTGTGGCATACCATTATGGGACAATTGGTGTCCTGTCTTTAACTTAAAAGGTTAATGCTTTGATAGCTTCATAATGGGGTCTAAAGTATTGTTGTTGATCATGATTCGAAATGTTTAAGTGGGACTATTTCGACGACAATTGGTATGAAACTGTGGTTGGAACCGCAGATTTCAGAACATTGGCCGTAAAATAATCCTGGTCGTGTGGATGATAGGGTGGCTTGGTTTAGTCGTCCTGGGATAGCATTTGTTTTGATTCCTAGTGAGGGTACTGCTCATGAGTGTAGAACATCCTCTGAGGAAACTAGCATGCGGATGGGTAGGTCTATTGGAAGGACGACTCGGTTGTCTACTTCTAGGAGACGTAGTTCTCCAGGTTTAAGGTCGGATGTGGCGATTATGTAGGAGTCAAATATTAGGTCATTGAAGTCGGTATATTCATAGCTTCAATATCATTGATGTCCTATAGTTTTTACTGTTAATGCTGGGTCGTTGATTTCGTCTATTATATAAAGAATGCGAAGGGAGGGTAGAGCAATCATGACTAGGATAACAGCTGGAAGAATTGTTCAGATAGTTTCTACTTCTTGAGCATCCATAGTGCTAGTGTGGGTGAGTTTAGTGGTTAATATCAGTGAAATGATATATAGAACTAGTTTCCTTTCCCAGGCTCTGAGGAGACACCTGTCTCAGGACTCCTTCACCCAGCATCCTGGCCTAGGGTTTTGGTGAATGTAGAGTCAAGGCTGGTTGTTCCCAAGGGGAAGGATCTGACCCTGGAGAAACAGAGAGGTGGGGTGGTGTTGCATCATTTGAGTGGTGCTCCCCTTGGGTGGGAGCCCCTGGTTGTCTCAAGGGAACCTCCATGCTCCAGCTTGTACATTGTCCCAGATGAGGAATGAACAGAGGCACTGCTCTGAGTCGTGTGTGTGTGTGTGTGTGTGTGTGTGTGTGTGTGTGTGTGTGTGTGTGTGTTTGTGTGTGTGCATTAGAGAAACAGAGACAGAGAAGGAGGGAGAGAGAGAGAGAGGGAAAGAGAGAGAGATCATCTTTCTACTTGTACATCCTGACAATGCTCAGGTGAGTTATCAATTGGCAAATTTCAGGTGCTGCATGGATAAGTCTTCTGTCACCAGTCTGGATTTGTGTGTGTGTAGAAGTGGGTTTCAACAAAGATGGTCGAACCTTTTGGTAACTTTTCCTGCTATCTTCGCGAGGGGAGGGGGGGTGCATGATCTTCACGGCTGAGGTCCAGGGGCCTGGAATGGTAAGGTGCTTGAAGGGACTGATCACCTTTAAATTACAAGACCAAGGGATTTGTGTGCCCTGGAGCTCTCTACTCCCTTGGGCATGGTTGGTGGCAGTGGGAGCTTGGTAGGACCTGGGGGTGAGTCTCACAGGGGGTGATTTCCCAGGGGGACAGAGTGTGTGGCCAGCACTTAGTAAGGATGTGCACACTGCGAGTATGGAGTGCACCAGCATAAGTCAGACTCCGGGTCTTCTCATCATGATGTCTGATGGTTGAGGCCAACCTTATTTTAAATCTTGACCTGTGATCTTCAGATCTCAGACTCCTGAGTAGCTGGGATTACAGGCATGATCCTCTGGCACCAGGCCTCTGATTCTTTTTGGTATATTAGGATTTGAACTCAAGGCCTTAGGCTTGCCAGTCAGGTATTCCACCATGTGAGCCAAGCCTTTCTGTCTTGGGCATTTCCAAAATAGAGACTAAATATATGGTCAGGCTGGGCTGGATCATGGTCCTCCTATCTGTGACAGGCATGCTCCACCAGGCCTGGTTCTCTGTAGTTGGGATAGTAGACATGTAGCACCATGTTCAGTCATCGGTTTAGATGGATTATCTCAAACTCTTAGTGCACAGCAGTCAATTCTTGACCACAGGGTAAGCCCTGGGTTAGGCTTCAACTATTGGACCTCAGTCTCCTCTTGGGACAGTTGTGAGGAAACAAGGGATTTATACAGAGGGATCTCTGGCACAGGGCACAGAGGGAGTGGCCATTAGATATGGTTCTTGGCAATTCTGTGAGCAAATGAAAGGAAGATACCTGGAAAAGGCTCACGTGGGGCTTGTTATTAATCATGGAACAGGTGAGGGATTATGAAACAAAACATGTCTCTCTTTCATCCTTACCTTATCCCCATGAGGAAGGGGATCCTTCACTGTGTTCAGTTTTGCGGCTGGGGATACTGAGGCAAGGAGAAGCCAGGTGACATACTCATGACTTCCAGTTCACAGGAAGCTCTGCCTGACTTCTCTGCCATACTCCCTAGGACAATGGGTGCTATTCAGTCCACTTCTTGTGGTGAGAAGTCCAATTCTTGTCAGTCGTGGGGCTTGAACTCTGGTCCTGGGCACTGTCCCCGAGCTCCTCAGATCAAGGCTAGCACTCTACTACTTAAGCCACAGCGCCGCTTACAGTTTTTTGGTGCTTCTTTGGAGATAAGAGTCTCACAGACGTTCCTGCCCGGGCTGGCTGTGAACCATGATCCTCATATCTCAGCCCCCTGTGTAGTTAGGATTACAGGTCTGAGCCATGGGCACCCGGCTTAAGTTTAATTCTGACTTTTTTTCTCTCTCTCACAGGAACTGGTTGAATGTGTGCTGGAGGAGGTGGCCCAGCGTCCCCATGTGGTTGGAACCCAAGGTGGCCCTCTCATTCTGGAGGTAGACTGTGGGTTAGGAGCTGTCTTGCTCAGCCTGTTGAACCAGCTCCATGAGGTAAGCCCCTCTGTGCCCTGGCTAGACTATAACGGTTATTCATTGTCCATCCAGCCTTACTGGACTTAGTATTTTTTGTATGTTATTTTCTAGCACCTGGCCAAAATTATGATACATAGTTATGGAATGAAAATATAATGCCATCTTAAGAAAGTCATTTAGGGCTCTGGGAATGTGACTTCATGGTGTGGTGATTGCCTAGCCTGCCTGAACGCCTGGGTTCAATTCCTCACAGAAAAACACTGAAAGAGGTGCTGTGCCCCAAGTGGTAGAGTGGTAGCCTTGAGGAAAAAAAAAGCAAGCTCAGGAATAATTCCCTAGTCCTGAGTTTAAGCCCCCTGGACTGTCAAAAACAAAACAAAACAAAACAAAACAGTTAGTAAATGAAAAATAAAGAACACATACTTGGAATATATAATTGCTCCTTCCATACTGATACCTGACAATAGTCCCTAATTCATGCATTTTGCCTATATTAGGATACCGTGTTGAAAAAAAAATGTTTTGTTCATTAGATCACTGCAGTTAATGCCAGGAATGTACTTAGATGTCAAGGGAAGATGAATTCTGGAAATTAAAAGATTCCAGGCTTTTGAGTGGTCACTGCTAATCACAGAGAAGGCTAGTCTAAGTGAGATTTGGAAATCTTTTTGGTCAGTCATGGCACTAAAAAGGCAGAGACTAATAAACAGTTGTGATAGAAGAGAAAGAATAACTCCAGATGGAAGGAATAAATGATAGTAACTAACATATACCAGAAACTGTTCTAGGTAAATATTTT